CTGAATTACATAGGGACCTTCAAATTTTGGAGCTGGCTTTGCCGTAAAATTGTCTGGGGCACTTGATAAAGAAAATTTCCGCTTCAATACTTTATCCCCAACTTTAAAATCTGGCTTTCACACGGCTTTTTCTATCATAATATGTTTTTTGCTTATTTCTTGCCGTATCCGAGCTTTTTAAGCGCCTGATCAATCAGATTTTGCACATCTTCTGTTTGTTTAAACTCTTGCTCTTTTGTTGCACAAAGAATAATTTATCTAAAGGCGTAAATTAACTTTTCGGCCTAAAAATAATTCTGCTGGGGTTTTTCCCGTAGTATCGTGATTTGCCGTTCTTAAAGCATAAGCTAATTCATTTATGTAGCCATCCCAGCGCTTGTGATGTGTGCTCAACGTAACTGCGAATTATTTTTACTATGTTTTTATTCACTCTTTCTGCTATGTTTGCCTGTGGTCTATACGGAACCATTTTGATATGGCGTATGTGCCAAGTCCATTGCATATGTTTTCAAATATTTGACTAATGAATTGTTTTCCGTTATCGCTAATGACTTTTATCGGTGCACCGTATTTTAAAATGTATCTGTGTAAGAATGCATCTGCGACTGTTTTGGCTGACGCGCGTTTAAATGGAACAATTTCTGTCCACATTTTGAAAAATGATCTACTATTACTAAAAGAAAACGATTTTTTATTTAACTCGCTCTGGGGGAAGGGACCAAGAAGATCTATGCCTAAAATTTCATTCGGAAATGTAGCGCGAATGCTATTTAAGTACCCGGCCGGGCTGTGTAATTAATATCATTTATTAACTGACATTGATTGCAGGACCTGACATACGCCGCCGTTACTATTTTGTATAATTGCGGGAAATATACCGCCTCGCGTACCCTTTTTAAAGTCTTTCTGACCCCTAAATGACCCGCTGTTTTCGCGTCGTGTAATTCCTTCAAAATTCTTAATCGAAGCGAGGCTGGGATGACTGGTTTGTACTCAAGATTTCGTTTGTTGTTTTCTTATAAAATAATAAATTATCTATTATTTCATAGTTTTCTGCTCTATTTCTTATCGCATCGATATCTGTGTGCTCAAAAGCTTTCGGGGTCTTTCAAATATGCATAGATATTTCCAAATTAAGGATCAGCTTTCAGTTCAGTAATAATCGTATCTCTAGAATCTAAAATTTTTGAAGTCAACACAGCGCATTTAAGTTCATTTCCTTCATTGTCCAGTTTTATACGAGAAAGTGCGTCAGCTACATTGTTTTCCTTATCCGGTTTATATTTTATTCCGATATTATATTCTTGGAGTTTTAAAGCCCATCTTATTAACCTGGGCGTTAGATTTTTCCCCGAGTAAAGTCTACCAACAGCCGCATGATCCGAAAAGACTGTTACTGGCGCTTTGCCGAAATAAACTCGAAATTTGTGTACAGCCATTAATACGGCTAAGTGTTTCTCTTTCTGTAGCTGTATAATTCCTTTGTGTCTGATTCAATGTTTTACTAAAAAATGCCAGAGGATGGCTATTTTGCACATAAGAACCGCACCCACCCGCATAGTCTGACGCATCTGCTGCAATTTCCAGGTTTTCGTCCCCCTCCGGGAATTCTAAAAACAGGGGGCATTGATGAGCGCTTCTTTTAATCTTTCAAAAGCTGTGTTTGCTTCCGCTGTCCACGTAAATTTACCTTTCTTTCTTTTGATTACTAAGAGTGGTTCAACAATATTAGCGAAATCTTTTATGAAGACCGATAGTAAGAACATAACCCAAGGAAAGAAGAAAGTTTCTTGGCGGTGTTGGGCGGTGGAAAATTCTTGATGGCTTTTATTTTTGAATCTTGCGTTTCTATAACCTTTTGCGAAATTTTATAACCGAGATATTTAAGTTCTTTAGTTGCGAACTTGCATTTTGAGGCGTTAATTGTAAGACCGGCCTCTTTTAATAATTTAAAAACTTGTTCTAGATCATTAATGTGTTGTTCCAACGTACTACTCGTTATAATTATATCATCTAGATAAATTAAAGTTGATTTTCCTAGGACAGGCTTTAGAACAATGTCCATAGCTCTCTGGAATGTTGATGGGGCCCCACACAACCCAAAGGGCATGCGTAAAAATGCATAAGTGCCCGATTTTGTTATAAACGCGGTTTTATGTATGTCTTCGGGTCTCATAGCTATTTGATAGTAGCCAGGACGTTAAGTCCAAAGTAGACATGTATCTTGTCGATTTGATCTGTCTAATGAATCTTCGTCTATAACCGTCAAAGGGTAAACTGGAAATTTTGGTAATACTATTTAGTTTTCTGTAATCAATAGCAAACCTCCAAGCCCTTTTATCCGAAGGAGGAAACTCGTTCTTTTCCTACATAGTACGACTGGACTCGCGTACTCACTATTTATGGGCGTTATTATTTTATTCTTTAACATCTCCTGAATATGCTCTTCGATGATTACGTCTTTTTGTTTGTCGTACCGATAAGGTTTAGTCCTACAAGGTTTTTCGGCAGTTACTTGTATCTTATGCGTAACTATCTGACAATTTCCCGGTTTTTCTGAAAACAATTTAGCAAAATTACTCACCACTTGCTGGATGTCTTGCCTTTCATGGTCATTCAGATGGCTAAGGTCCACTTGCGGTGTCTCCACAGGTTCCACCACCCTTTGGTCCATCTCCAGTACCACGGAACTGTCTTGAAAATTCAATTTGGCCCTCGCGGCCCTTTAAAACTCCATACCTAAAATAAGAGAATTTTGCAGATTTTTCACTACAAAAATTAACACTTTGACGCTTTCCTCTTTTACCTGTATGTTTAATGATAATTTCCCGATGCAGTGACATGTTTTTCCTTGCGCCGCTATAATTTCCGTATTTTTGGTTTTAAATAATCGTACCCTATAAAAATTCTTTCTGAAGAACTTTTCGCTCATAAAATTTCTTTCTGCTCCTGTATCGATGAGGCCATTCTACTGGTACATCGCAACCAGGACTTGTATAATTGGTAGATGTGAGTTTTTTACGATGACCGTATTTAAATGTCTTTTTGAGGGTTTTTTTTAAAACTTCCGGGGTCTGGACCCTCCCTTTCACAGGCCCCTCTACTCGTTTAAAGCTTTCCTTTCAATCTGTGCCTTCTGGGTACGCGGATGTTTATTTTCAAATTTTCTTTTTGGGCCTTGACCTTCGAGTTTCGATGAGTTAGCTTGATAGCTCTTTCCCCCATAAGAGCGATTTCCATTTCTGGTTTCCTCATTTGAAGATTTCCTTCGGGTACTTTGAGAATACGTTGCCCCTCTAGCTTTTTCCGCTATTCTGCGATTTTGAAACTTCACCGCCAATTCGAAGAGCTCCTGCAATGTGCTTGGGTTTCTAATTTCGAAGTAGTCTTGAACAGCGGGTAACAATCTGGTAAGATTATTTCAATAATCTTCCGCATCGGGTTTCTTCCCATACAGCATATCCGTCAGCTTAATTTTTCGTAGAATAAAGTCCGTCAATTCTTCTATATCCCGTTGATAGAAAACTATATAGTTCGGTTTACAGCCTTGCTCGATCTTTCCACTATGGGGAAGGCCTTTACTAACGATTTTTTGAAATTTTCAAATGTATATGTCTGGCTTCCAAATTCCCCTAATAAAAATTTGCCTATATTTTCCACCATAGCGCGGCCTGTCCTCTTAGTGCGGATGTGGCGATGGCAACTTTTTGTCCTTCCGGCACAGGGTTGAGCTGAAAGTGATTTTCTAGGCCTTCTAGAAATATCGCCACCGAATTTTTTCCGTCGAAATTGACGTTTGGCTTGATTGACGCTCTCAAAGTCTGGACCAGGTATCCAAATCCTTCCAATTGGCTTGTCATTTCTTGGTGTTCTCCAGCGGTTTACATCCAATTTTCGGCCATTTCAGTTCGATAAGTGTTCGGGCGCCAATGTAGCGTTGCGCGCCTCCAACTTGCACGCAACCAAGAGGTGACTGTGAAAACTGGATAAAGACAGAGTCTTGTTAAGGGTTTAAGTCCCTTTTTATTCAACGTAATAAATTACAAGTGCGTGCTCTTGACGCTCACAAACTGCGCCAACTCGGCGGTCAAATAAAATAATAACCTGAAAGAAACTAAAGACAAGACTCTAACTACGAGGCTCTCTAATAGTAACTAACTCACCGCGTTTTACAATACCGCTGCTAATTCAGCAAACTTGAAGATCACTTGAACGATTATCAATACTTCCAGGCAAGCACACAGGCCGAAACGCGGGGTTCTTCAATTTCTGGCTAACTACCTCCGCGCTCGTGAAGTAAGAACAGCACACCTTGAACTCGTTTCCTTTCTATTTAACTCAGAATACTTCCGCTGATAATTTGAATCCTTGCGCGTTCTACTAAAATTTACATACTCTGGCATTGGCAGTTCCAGGGGAAAGTAAGGCTTGACAGGAAAGATAGTTTAAACTTAAAATAAATGTTAGTTAAAATAAATATAAACCCTACAAAGTAACTAAGAACTGCAGTAGCATCTGTCATTCTTTTGGGTAGAATGAAATGACCTTTGTATACGTTAGGACATGGCGCACACACTAGAGACTAATAATGAGTATCCGAAAAATTCCTGAATTTTTCTTATAAAAATTGATTGATCTGTCTGAAATCTTTTTCTTCTAATTCACCATCCTAGTAGATCTTCGGAATAATAACCATTAGTTTGTAAATATCAGTTTCAACATTTGAACCACGATCACAAACATTTAACAAAGTCGGTTTTTTAAATATGTCATCGCTTTCATTTTTCTCGTTTCATGAAATTTGAGTATCCCTTCGTATATTTTTCTGAAATAATGTTTTGTATTTCTTCTACTTGTAAATTAGTGTAGTACTAAATGTGAGATTTATGAATGTTTTACTATGTGCTAATGATGTTATTGATTTACTGTAAATATTTTTTTATTTTTCGAGAAAAACTGTCATTTAATTATATAATTTGGTAATATTTATTTATTTACAGATTATCATTGAGACAAACTGACTGCATGAATAATGAAAATTATCTGGGAGAATCTTTTTACATTTCTTCGAGATTTGTGGCCAAATCTCCTTGGCTTTTATACTGTGTCTTATTAAAAAGCACAATTTCTTGTATACTCTAAATAAAATATATATTCCTTTTCGCCTACAAAGTTGATATATTAATGAATTATACATTATACTAAAAGATATTTGTTTACTCGCATAAAGTAATACATCTAAAAATTTTTAATGTGAAGCCGTTATGTACAAGCAGTCTAAGCCTTCATTAATTAAATATATAATGTAGCAAAAGCTAATTAATCCATGCTTATTATTCAAAGAAAATAAAGCTACGTTTTTATAAATGCGTCAAAATGTATATCACGGCAGAAAAGTCCATATGAAGAATTTTTTTTAAATCTTTGTGCCTCAAATTTATATTTTTAAATCATCACTCTTTTAGTTAGCAGAACGTGGTGAATGCCTAGATATATAAAGTTTCATCGTCTGTTATAGTTAACTCATTCTTAATAAGGAAATCACGAAGTTTAGATTAATTAAAATGTCTAGTCTTAGAAATTTATTACCAACTAGTTGGGGTAACCGGCTTTCCTCAGGGAGTTGATATGAGATTATGTGGTAGTTGGAATAAAAGGATAAACTTTTAAACACTAAAAATATAAGAGGTAAAATGTTTTTATTGAAACTATATTCTAACTATTTACAATACTCGTTTATAAGCAACATTTTTCATTTTGTTATCCGGGGTATTTTTTATATGTAGAAATTTTTCGAATTTCCTACTCGAGAGCAAGCTACATAAGCTGACCGTGAGAAAAGCAGGAGTCGTTGAGGTGATACCGCAACATTTTAAAGTCTGTCCTTGCACTTTGTTAATTGTAAAACGGTAAGCTAATTTGATTGGAAATTGCAGTCTTTTAAATTGGAATCACGGTCAGCTCAGTAGATATCAGTGGTATTCTGGGCATAAATACTGTATGTCCTTTGCCCTTTCCAATCATAAGTTCGGCTTCGATGATGCTCTTCGATAGCTGTTTGTTCCATTACATAGTTTTCGTGAGTTGAGATTTCTGAGTAGAATCATCGGAGATCCAATTTTCAGTTGAAGGCAATGTAATGGCATTCCTGGTAAATGCAAAGAGTTTAAAAATTCTCTAGGGAAGTTAACAGTTTCTTCAACTTTTACCATCGTGCCAATCGATTTGTATATTCTCTCTTCACCAGGAATTTCTTTTTGAATATTAAAGTTGATATCGTTGACAAAATAATTTTTAGTTGCCAAAATTGCCCTTTGATATAGGCTCTCCGGATTAGTATAGTTGTGAACAATGTTTGGATAAATTTGTCGATGAGTTCGTTTTCAATAGTGGCTATGTTGCAGAAATCACTGTTGGGTTCAATGAGGCTAGTCGTCTGGTCAGTAGGATATGTACCTTCGCCTATTTTTAAAAGTCTTAGAGCAAAATGTGCTGTTTTTTTCGTATTTCAATAGTTCAAAAAACTCTCATATTCTTCGTTAGTCGCAGTATTTGTATGTGTGGCCAGAGATATGGTTTTTTTCTTTTAAGAATGCATTGATTTCATCTGCTGATGGTGACGTGGAGATAACTGAAAGTATTTGTCGATAGTGGAGTGCTTCATTTTTATTACGTTGTACTGTTTACTTGTCCTTGTCCGCGCTTCTCATATGGTGATATTTTTTCATGGGTGGTTTGCGTTCGCAGTCTACTATTATAAGATGGTGTTGCAATTCTTGACTCTTCAATTCGTTCATTTCATTGTTCTGCGGTTTATCTGCTTCTCAAGGTGCTCATTCTCCTTCGTTGGAAACTGAAATGTGCTTCCCGCTCTTTTCAGGCTTCTTAAACCTAAACTTTCTCACAGGATTCTAAAACTGAGTATCGATAAAACTCTAAAGGGAACATTTAACTGTCTTCTCTTAATTTTACACTAAGCTACTAAGTACTGAACTATCTAAGATTATGTCTCCCAAATTTCATACCTTAACTCATTCGTGCCTTTTTCGATATTCTTTTAAGTTCAAGCATATTTTGGAAGTCTAGTGTAAGAAAAAAATTAGAAATAAAAAAATTAAATAAAACTATTAAGAATAGAACTTTGTAAATTAACATTCCTGATATAGGCCATAAAAACTAGAAAATAAACCTCTTATAAGGTGTTTCTTCCTCCTTCCTAGCATGCCTTCGTGGTGTAGTGGTCAGCACACTCAGCGCGTATTCGAGAGGTCAGTGGTTCGAGTCCTGACGACGACATTGCTGATTTTTCATGTCTCCTGCTTTGAAATAACCTAATACCTCTACAGTGGCGCCTGAACTAAAAATGGTGGTTGATGATCATTCTCCACCACGACGATTTAGCGACTGGGTCCCCTAATCTCCAGTTGCCCTTTAAAACGGGGAGTATATAAGGCATTTCTCCCACCTTCTTAGCATGCCTTCATGGTCTAGTGGTCAGCATAATCGGTGCGTATTCGAGAGATCCGTGGTTCGAGTCCTGACGAGAACATTGCTCATTTTTCATGTCTCTGCTTCGAACTTTCATGTCTTTTCATGTCTTTCTGCTTCGAGCTAACTAACTTCTCTATACTCTCAGATTTTAAATCTCGAGTTACTAATTACTAAAATTAATGTATAAAAATTTATTTAATCTCTTTAAATCTTTAAAATCTCGAAGCCTACTTAGCGAACTACACTGATGTGCAAATTTAGAATTTTACATTTGGCTGCTATCTCTATAACAGATTTTAATGAAATGTGATATGGATATAGACGGATATAATACAACAGTCAATAGTACATATGCATAAGGTTCACGTGCAAAGAAAGATCTAAAATCGACCGAAGAAAAAGGCTAATAAAGGTTGTAATCCTATGTCTCATAACGCTCCTTCATACTGGAAATGAACAATTCTTGAGTCCGCATTGGGTCGGTTCCACTTCTGCAATAACGCTATATTCAATTTCTTGGTATTGGGAAGGCAAGTTGTAATCGCCCTTCCTATCATGTTCTATACAGTTTCGATCCATCTGGTTAATATCCATTCCAGAAAATCATCCACTGGATTAGCCTTATGTAGACGTATGTTTCGTATCAAAAAAAAGTCAGCTGCAACCCTGAAAAAGCTAATATAAATCTCTAAGATGTCATTAGTTTGCAAAAGCTGCCATTTTCCTTCCTTTCACTTCACAGATAAGCCCGATTCAGCCGCAACTCTTATTCTCAACACACTTAGTTCTGAAGAAAACCAGGCACCCGCTACCTGTCCTCCAACATCCAAGAAAAGTCAATGTTTGGATAAATTAGTCAGCTGCAACCCTGAAAAGGCTAATATAAATCACTAAGATGACAGTAGTTTGCAAAAGCTGCCATTTTCCTTTCTCTCACTTCACAGATAAGCCCGATTCAGCCGCAACTCTTATTCTCAACATACTTAGTTCTGGAGAAAACCAGGCACCCGCTACCTGTCCTCCAACATCCAAGAAAAGGACTACTTTGTCGGCAAAGCTTTGAGGGTCTGGGCAAGTATCATAAGGAACGAGTCCAGAAATCTTTAGGTCTTTAACAGAGGTTTCGTGGCTGCTGCGAGATATTTGAAAGAGATCTTAAAACGCTCTTCTGCTCTCTTTACCTCTCTCTACGGCTAGCCATTTCAAAGACGCAGTTGCCTCTCAGATCATTTTTATATATGGCAGTGCTCGTCCTCTTAGTACTAATTTGGTGGATGGAGAAATTAACCAAATGATTATCCAACCACTCTTAGGAAGGCAATTGTAACTCGCTTTCCCACTTCCAGCTCCCTGCAGCACCTAAGAACATCATTGCTGTGAGAAAGGAACCGAGGGCCACAAGGACTCGAAAATTGCCTCATTTAGTATGAAGTCACTTTGAGAGGGAACCACACTTCCCGTTAGCTTCATTTTGGGATCAATCTTGTAACTTTTATCTTAGCCCTTCTTGCGCCGACGAGGCTGACGAATGATCATGTGCGTGTAACATAATTGTTATTATAATATAGTATGTCAGGAATATCCAACAAATCAATCGAAGCCGACAGGAGACATCGTCACTCAAAGAAGTCATTAGTCGTCACTCAAAGAAGCAAACGGTCGCGGCTTCTTTAGTCTCATGGTTAACGCTGACAGTCTGCCTTCCGAGCCAGCCGCAGAGAGAGTAGGAGAGCAGTGTTTTACCTCGCCTCTGATTTGATCGCTAACAGTAGTTCACAATATGCTATCTAGTGGGCTCCTCGGCTTGCTCTGTTTTAATTCTTAGTGTAACAATGCTTAAATCAATATTCCTATGTTCATTGTTTAGCAATTAACCAATTCACCATGGGGATAACTCTGTATTAGGGTTTCTAGAAAAAATATCCATTTTTTCTTGACACTATTGCTGTGCAAAAGTATATATACCTTCTTTATATAAATTTAAATTAAGATACAATGATGAACGATAAATTCTATTGCTCAATATGTTATGCCTCTAACGCTGTTACTAAAAAGAGTAATCTACCGAAACGGTTTTCAGCTTTACAAATGACAAATATCAAACAGTTCATCCACAAAGTAGTAACTGGAGGAATAAAATCAAATTAGGAATTGTTCAACTAAGAGCTCAAAATGTGTTTAAAACCCATGTTGAAGCCATGTGCAGTAATTATTGCATCATTCAAAGAAGCAAAATATGTAAACCATATTCTGACAGAAAATTTATAAAAGAAACTTTCTTTGAAATATAAGATTCACTTTTTAATGGGTTTAAGAAAAAACTACAATTAAAGTTCTACGATTGTCTCGAAATAATGTGATGAATTGAGAAAATGACTGAAAATATAAGGGAATTCTTACATAACCATACTGATAGACGTTTTTTTATTTACTTCTATTTGACACATGTGTCACAGCCCAATAGCTTATTTTTATTCGTATGTTATTTTAACGATTATACACCTTACGAAATGTTGGGTATGATTTCTTTGAAAGTTTGGTTTGGTTTATTTGATTATGGTAAAACAGTCGGGGGCTATCGTCTAAGGGGAGGGATGCTTTCATGGAGAAGTTTCTAAGTGAAACTGGCTCGCATGCACCTTATACTTGGGGAAAACCACGAAAAGGCCCAAACAGCCAGCTCTTTCGTTAGGATTCGAACTCCGGACCCAAACTACCCGTATATAGCGACTTTACTGCTCAGCTACTGGTGAGCCTTGATTTCTTCGAAAGAAAGGACTAGAAGTGTAGTTTCAACTCTCAAACATTTCTTTCCTAATTTGATACTACCACTTTTTAAACTAGTTTCAGTAGCAATTATAGGCCACATATCTGGATTTAAAACTCTTTGCCAACACTATGGCAAATATCCAAGTGTCTGAGCTATCACTGCATAATTCATCAACAAGTGTTAGCCAACGAAGGCTGAAATACGAAAGAAATAATGGCTATAGCCTTAAAAATTATAATTCAGTTCGAAAAGGTTCCCTAAAATGGCATCTCTTTGAATTGCAATTTAATGAAGGAGAGCCAAAATTTAATTAATGACATATTTCACAATTTACGTACAGATATTATTGACAATTTTCAGACCGATAGTGGCAGAAAATTTACTTACCGATAATACTAGATACACAAATTTATATACCGGAAATATCAGAAACAGCATCTTTCTTAATTTACATACCGAAGTAATTTTTCTAAGTAGAATTTCTGCATAGATTTCTTGATTTATTAACTGAGATAAAACTTTTTCTCAAAACGCAAGATAAGAATGTGTAAATATAAATGATGAGACTTGGTTCAGTGATTTATTTCTTAACAGATTTTACATCAAAATGAAGTTATTTAAATTTACAATTCCAAGAAAAACACAAGACAATAATTGAAATGATTGAAGAATTAAGGCATACAAAGCAAAATTTATTACGCTAATAGAAGATCTTCAGCAAAACAGGGAGTGACTTCTAAATAATGTCCAGTCATCTACAAAATCATGAAAATTGTAATTATATCACTGGAAAATATGTTGCAGAAATTAAAAATGCTCTTGAAGGTCAGATTTTAAGTTTTTTATAAAGCTCTTGTGAAGTGTCTGCTTTTTCCTTTTAAAAAGAGTTCGTATGTAAAATATATTCCCTCAAAACGTTTTGACACATTTAATGTTGAAAAAAAGGGCACATTAGAAAATTAAATTATAACTATACAAACTGATTCAAACTTACATGACAGAGGACTTAAAGAAGATTTTTTTAGAAATATGTCAGTTAAGAAAAGTTTCCTTATATCACCAAATGTAGGGAATACACCTACTTATGTTTTGGATCTTCATACTTATTTGAATCGGCCTTTTTCATATTTAAAATTCATGAAAACTAACATCGTTCTGTTCCCATACTGAAGATGGAACCATACGTATTTATCATTTATAGATATTAAATTTATATTATTATTTGTAGATATAATATATATTACTTACCTTTATCATATAATAATTAAAGATATATGATGCGTTATATGACGATATTAATAGATGCTTTCGTTATTCCCTTAAATAGGATTCATAATACTCACAGTATAATTACTTATTTTCGTTTCCAATGGTTTTTAAAGATTATATACCTAAAGAATTGTTAGACATATATCTTTGAACAAAGAATTGTTGTGTGTGTATATATATATTTATATAAATTTTTATTATCTTTATATGGAGGCATATCAAATTATGAAAGCTCGGTTGGAGACATTCAGGCACAGACTTCTATTAATGACAGTAAAAGAAACCTTAATGTGCAACTCTTCAATGGCTACTTTTGAATAAATAAATATTATTAATAAAATATTATGGTTGTTTAATACTCCTTTAGCCATTACCACTTAATAGTAATGATACAAGTTTCAATGCGTTAAATGTCAAGATTTTAGTGGGTACCATTACCACTAAAAAATGATCTTGATACATTTTTTAGAAAAACGGTCGATCACGTGCATACAGAAGTTGGTCACTCCTGTTAGAGATTTTTGTATTACATCAATCTATATCCGTACCAAATTTCATTAAAATTTATCCTTTATTTCTGGAAGGTGTTGACCAATTCTGAAATTCTCTTAATTTTCCCTCACTTCACTTGTGGAGTTAAAAAAATCCGTTTAATGACAATATTTAGAAAAAGCGCTGCCGTTTCTTTGTAGATTTATGCAATGTAAATAGCCTAATTTCAAATTGCTTTATTCATTAAATGTGTAAGTATTTCGTGCGACTTCCTATATTTATTTATTTTCCTTTATTTATTCTTTTGGACAACTTGAAAATAATAATCAAATTCTGGCTAATTTAAGTTATCCAAAATGACTGACCGAGTTTCAAATAAGCATAACTCTGTCCATTAAAATTGTTAGTTAATACTGCAATAAATTAATAGTGTATTAAAATGGTGTGTACCACCCAAAGAAAAATGTTCTCGAATGTTATCTTTTATTAATTAAGTGGTTTCTTGTTGACTATGTACTTTCAATCGCAGTGAATCGTAAAAAATGAGGTGTTTATGCCACACTTAATCATAGCCTACATGATCTCAGAAACCAGATCCTTTATGACATGAAGACAGCAACAAGGATATACTGAAGGAAGTATAGCAAAATTTTGATTATCGTCTTGATCTTATGGATGCAAATGGAAAAAGACAGACAGGTACTTGAAATAAAACTTTTAAATTTTATTTCATTTTATTTGTCACCTTTTCGCACAATATTATTTTGTGAAGAAAAAAATTCCGTTAGTTTCAAAAAACAACATTTTTTACACATTTCTACATATTTACAATATTTCGACTGCAGTAAATAGTTTTATAAAAGGATCAAGTAGTAAAAATGGCATAAACTTCAGTTTCCTGATAACCGTCACATATCTAATATATCCCTAATATAAAATGTTCTCTTGTACTCCTTTTTTGGAGGGACAACATTCGAAGTGGCCATGTTATTATTTTGCGTCATTTTTAAAATGCGCATGGGCTTTGAATCCATGGCAATAGTTTGATTATGAGTTGATGTAAATATTTTGCCTCTTCGATTTGAAATTTTGCTAGGATTAGAATTTTCGTAAAGAGCGGTAGCAATATCTTCGATTTCAAAATATGTTGAATCTTCCCTCTCTCTATCTGCCATTTCTTGCTTCGTTGAAACTATCTTTGGAGCTCTCCGTAATATTCGATTGATTGAAGAAACGGATGGTAAAGAATCTCTGGGACAGATACCTTCAAATAGCAATTTTTCTCTGATTTCCCATGCAAATAAAGAAGCATTTTCTTCTTTGTACTGTCGAATTTTTGCGATTACCAATGGAGTTGAAACTCTTGGTTTGCTCCCACCTATAAATTAAAAAGGCTGTGTTCAAAATAGTTCAGCAAGACGACCGGGATTTGTATTATGTTATTTTGTTAAATAAGTAACATAGTTAAAAAATAAAAACAATTATTCTTGCTTATGAGATTCGAATAAATTAAGTTTCTATTAGTAGTATATAAGAAAACTTTGATCGCACACTCAAATATGTGACAGCCTGTATTACAATATTATTTTGATTACTAAACATGTTAGAGGAATCATATTCAAGGTATTAATTGTTTGTTTTCATTTCGAGAATTTCGCGTCCTGATAAGAATTATTTGTTGCAAACATTGTGAGCATGCGATCCAGTAAAATAAATGAACAGTTATCTCCTGAATGAGGTTGTTTTTTTAGAGGGGTTTAAAAAGTGCGCAAGTCTTCGTGTGATGTAAGTTTACAATGAAATAATTGTCTTAACAGATTTTTTTCTTACTATTTGGCTAGCTATTTTGAACAGCTCATTTCAAATATAATATTGTATGTTTTACGTCTTTAATATCTGGGTAAAATCATCTAATTATTAAACTAAGAGGCTTATTGTTATTGCTTAGCTTAAAATTGTTTCACTTGCTAAACTGAAATTCGCATATTAATATATAGGACTACAGCTAATTTTTTATCTTATTTATACATTTTAAAAATTTTTTTAATACTTTATGAATACATTTTTAACTTTATAAATTTTAATGGTAAACTACTGAAGGTGCTATTCTATAATCTGAAGTTTTCATACGACAATTTATTTATTTACTTATTTTTTCGATTCGACACGCAATAACTGCTTAGTATTTAATGCTACATAATTTATTGAGGAATTGAAGATTTTTGGCTATTCTTTATTTCCTACTTTCACCACTTATATACTTTTTATAATAACCACTTGTTTAACCTTCAATTTTACCGTATTTTGACTAAGTCAATTTTAAACCATTTCTGTAAATCAGATGAACCCCTTTCATTAGCGATAAATAATTATAACTTCTTGAATCTTTAGCTAACAGCTCACAAAAGTAAGTAATCACATAATGGGAAAAGAGAAAAAACAGAACTTGCCAGTTTAATTACACAAGTATACGTTTAGAATTTTATAAAAGGAAAAACATTTCATATAAATTTACTGAAAAACGAAATGCTGCTTGCAAACCTCATTGATAATAATACTGAATTACTAAATTTCATTGATTTAGTAGACAGATACAATATTAAGAGATTTAATAAACGTGACATACACTAAAAATAAAAAAAAACTTACAATTATTATTCCATTATTTGTATTAAATTCCATAACCTGATTATTATAAACATTCAAAAAATAAATTATAAAAATGGCTGATCCATTAACTTATATCTATCCATGATTAATATAACGAAATAGTTACAGCAGGTTGCATATTAGCTCTGTGCAATTATTTTTCTATCAGAAGTTTAAATTTCTGACATTATTTAAGAATTTTACCAGACAAATTAAGAAATTCATAACCTAAGGGTGTTTCAGAAAGTAACAGCATATTCAAAATTATGAGAGAATAATTGAGTGACAAGTACAGATGATATACCATTTTTCAACATGCATTCTCTTTCTTTCTTACTACATTTATAGTACCTGTTTAGAAAAATGCTTTTGTTTCATCCTTTATCCAGGAACGGTTCCCTTCTTTGATATTACTCGGAAACTGTCCTCCTCTCATAGCATTCTTATAAAGTCAGACGTACTAGATGGAGAAGATACAGGCAGAAGTGGCCATTTATACAGTAACCCAAGGACATTAAGCATATTCTCTCCAAATAAACAGAAATTTATCTTAAATTACACAAATTTTATTGTTACACTTAAGTTTGATATATTTCCAACTTCCGACAGATTTTTGGAACTTGCATAAAACATTGATTATATTGAACATTGTTGTCATAATTGACTTTAAAGTCGTAATTAATTTTCTAGGTATAAAGCTAATTATAAGAAACAAAGCACATATCGCATATTTTACTTTAGATAAAAAAAAATTGTTAAACACTCCCCTTATATTTTTATAGTATTTTCCTCAAAAAGTAATGAAAATGAAAGAATTTTGGCCGCAGTTCTGATAGAAGTTTTGTCAGTCTGATCAGATAAAAACAATATATTTGTGATTGTAATTTAAGAAATATATCGACGATAACAATATTCTACGTACGCACTTTACTTAAACACTTCTACCCCTAAAATGCAAAACTAAAAACACTTGTGTAACAGCAAAACTTATTAAATTTACTCGCGAACTTCTTTATGTAACATTAAATAAAATAAAAGAAGAACGCGTTAATCGGATTTTAGAATGGTTTCGTGTTTCGATTTATTTTTCCATTATAATGCAAAAATAACCTAACATTTATGTATGCCTATCCTTCCTATATCAGTAGGCTCCACTAACTGAACTAGAAATACTTTAAATCTGAATTCTTACCTATAGCTCCTGGTAAAATAGAGCCCGTTTCTGCGAAGCGTGTCAAGATCTTGGATACACACCCATGAGAAACAAGTAAGTGGCGCGATATATCGCAGGGACGGTAACCATAAAGTGCTAGCTCCAAAATTCGCAATCTCACATGGAAAGGCAAGGGCTTACCGTTGGCGAAGGCTCCGCCTAGTTGGTTTATTCCTCCTTGACCTACAGCAGAATTGAAAAAAATACCATACATTAAGTTATTTAACGATTTTAATCTCTGTAATCATGCCTTAATTTTATAATTCAAAACTTTTGGAAATTTCGTATTGTCACAAAACTATTTATAATAAGGCATTCAGTAAGTTGTACACTTCATTTTAAAAAAAAAGTTTTAAAAATTCGAAAAGGCGTAATTTATATAAGCGTTAAAATAACTTCACTCTAAAAAATTTTCAGTCTCTCTAACGCAAGAAATAATAAGAACAATAGAAAAAAGAATAAACTTTGAGGTATGAAAGCATACTCAAAAGATTAACAAAAGGGAGTAACAATCAAATTTATGCACACGCAAAACTCGGTCTTCGCTTGCGACCACAATTAAAAAAAAATTTGAAAAAACAAAACAAAAAAAACTGAAATCTTTCAGATTTTATATTACGTCCAAAGGGACCTTTTTTTAAGATTTTGTGTGTTACTTTTATTTAAGAAATATCATGTTTTTCGCACTTAAACCTAAAATTCAACTCAACAGCAATATCATAAAATAATTTTAAAAGAGCATATCTTTAGAATTTCCGATACACCGTCTCGCGCGCTGGAGATAATTTTTTTTTTCGTAGAGTCTTGCCATTGCTCTCTTTGAAATCGTTGAGTTTACTACTCAAAGATAATTTTAAGTCTTACAAAATATGAAATAGATAATAAAACAAATTCCAGATTCCAAATTTGGACTTCCAGATGACCATCTTCGAGCGGAGGACTAAGTTATTCAAAATTTGATGTCTCTAGATACTGTTGTTATTTCACATTGCGAGAAACATACATATATTCATGCAGATTTTTCATTATTTAATTTCTTTAAATATAATGCAGGGGTCTAATATTTAGTGGCAATAATTTGAAAAGAGAAATGCCGTTTATTGTGAACCAACGTAAAATGCCAAAACGAAATTAATAGCCCTTCTGGGCAAATTGCCTATTTGGGCTAAAAAGAATGTATTTGCATTATTGTTTCACATTGCGAGAAACATACATATATTCATGCAGATTTTTCATTATTTAATTTCTTTAAATATAATGCAGGGGTCTAATATTTAGTGGCAATAATTTGAAAAGAGAAATGCCGTTTATTGTGAACCAACGTAAAATGCCAAAACGAAATTAATAGCCCTTCTGGGCAAATTGCCTATTTGGGCTAAAAAGAATGTATTTGCATTATTGTTTACAATGACTTTTAATTGTATTTTCTTGTTTGAAATACATTTAGTAGAGTATTATTTTAGTAGTTTCTACAATATAAATAAACTATGTAGTTTTGTACTTTTAATGAAAGTATGAATAATAAGCTAATTAAAATGTGTCAAACCTTTGAAGTCATTTGGAATGACTCTTACAGAACAGAAACTTATTAAATTCAATTTCAAAACATTAAGTTTTTCAGTTCTTAACACTCAATAAAATTCAAGTATACTGTTCTTTTCTGCTAAAATGCTTGAAAAGTTCAAAAGAGGACATGTTTCGTTAAGAATATGTTTATCATCGTAAGCAAATCAATCTGAGTTTGTGATTTTTACTACTGGTCTTGAACATTCAAAGTGTTTAAGAAAGATTTCTCGGCTAAACCTCTGTTGAACTGCTAGTCCCAGACAAATGGTTTTAGTCTGAAAGGAGAATGAGATTTCATAGAACATTTTTGATCACTTACCAACATTTTTAAATGTGTGAGAATCTTACACTTTTATGACACGAAAAATGAGAATTTTGTCAGAAAAAAATTAAGTATATTTATAGTCAAATTACTTCGATAGCAAAAGAATTCCAATTGAAGTTTCTTAAAAAATCTATAATAAAAATCTTTGGTGACGATATACAAGAACTTACTAAAGGCAGATATGTAATAAATTGTTTGAATGAAATTTTCTGAAAGTTAATTTTAAATCAGGCAGCATATATAAGTTTTAAACTCTTATTTGTAAAAATGAATATATTCGAATGCTCTTACCTAGCATAATTTAATTTTTATACGACCCTTAAAATTGACTTATTTCTCTTATTATTTTTACCAGGAAAAGTAATGTTAAATCGTAAAATTTAGACGCTTTTTTCCGGGATAAGGGACGACTTACTAATAGGTTTCTTTCCTGTAAGCACAGAAGTAAAAATTTGTTTTACACATATTTTTACTAAAACGATCCAAGTAACCCAAATTATTGTAGTCTGAGATTCTACCTTATTTGATTCGCTTTTGAAAGTGGAGTCAGATATCTAAAATTAATTGCTTGAGCGATTTAATCATGCAGGCTTTTGAATCATATGAAAAAAGAACACGGAATAAAAGAAAAAAGAAAAATTTCTGTTATACACATTTTAATCGTAATTAAACAGTGTATAAACACACAGGGTTTGAAACTGAAGCTATTATATACTAGTTTCTAGAAAAAAAATGGAAGGCTTGATGGAATTTTACCAACTGAAAAATTTTTAAGGATAAATATTAGCAGCAAAAAAAATGACACAGAGCAATGAAATATAATTAATTTTTCAGTTATTATCTTAACATATCCCATGTTCTAAAAACATTCTTCTTCCTTGCCTGTTTTCTTTTGAGGTAAAACTTTAAATAAAAAAAATTAATATCGATTTCACCGCATTTTTTTCAGTTTCATTATTTGCATATAAATTCAAAATTCTTTGTTTAAATTAGTACTTAGAAAAGATAATCAATGTAATTAACATATGGCAGTTCTATTCCAATCTTTAAATTTCCGAATTTGAAAATAGAAGTTTTAGTAAAACCTGAACTCATGAGAGGATTTTGAGTCATTACTAAAAGAATCGACATGTTTACTTCACTTCCTTTACAAATTTTGAAGTGGCTTTTTTGATGTCAGTCAAATTGTATAATAATTTCTCCGACACCTAATGCATTTTAAAATGATATTTCAGAAGCTTTTAACTTCTCTTCTTAAACTATGTTTTATTTTATTAATGAGGAACAGAACATAAGTTACTCCGATCGTTCTTTCTTTTCTCATTGTCACATTAATTTAAACTAGCTGGTAATTTATTTATATGTTTTTGGTCTAGGCTAAGTACACGATATTTTAATTGGCTTACAATAAAAAAAATAAGTTAATAAACGTATTATACATATTCATTGTACTAAATGCCGTAACAATTCATTATGTATAAATAGTACGCCATCACATATTTGGCAAATATGTGACTTATAAATATGAAAGCTCGTTTACTTACAGTATATAGTTTGTCCTTCTTTGTTTGCTCTGCGAATAATTGCTTAGCCATAATAAATGCTTTTGTCAAAGCAATTTGACACACATCCCCAACATCAGAGCCGGATTTAGATTTGATAAGACCCTAAGCTATTTGAAATATGAGACTCTTTTTTATGTCTGTTATACTATATTTTAATTTTTGGGGGGGCCCGAAGAAAATAGCTTATACGTAAATCCTGCACCGCCCTACATTCAGCTTTGCTTTAATTTTAGGAAAACAGAAATGTATTATAAATTTTGCTTCACCCAAAATAAAAATTAACAGTTTTATTTCTTAAAAATGACAAAATAAATGTGTTTTGTTGTTTGTTCAAAAAAATTTTCTTTAATGATGGACAGTAACCATCTTTAGGCTTTCGCCCCTACTAAGGCCACAAGTTGTAGTCATTTTATTATGGAGGCACTTAATAGGCGGCCACCGTTACCTTCTATGAGGGGCCAGAAAATTTACATCCATGCCTTCTCCGGCAAAAGAAAAAAAAAATATGTATTCGATCGTAGATCGAAATTCCCCAACTTGCTTCATTGAACACACATATTTATCACACAAGGGGAAAAGCAATAAAGACCCAAATGGTTTGGTAGTCTAATCCGGGAAGTTAAGAGTTTTTATGTATTTGCTTAGTATAACGAAAGGATAATAGTGAACGAAAAGGATAATAGTTGAATAATTGACAGACACTTCAGTGAATGTAGAGATAATATAAAAATTCACAAAAGAACCGTGCCTCTTATTTGATAAATTGCTTTCTTGACTTCAATGTTATTCGAAAAGTAAGTATATACAATGCGGTTCAACGACTGAAATCAAAACTGTTGACTTCAGCAAAAGGTTCCAATCAAAATTATAGATATAAGTCAGTTCAACTAAGATAAGTCAGTTCAACTAAAGGAGAAATTAAAAGTACAGTTTTCCCTGGATTTTAATTCAAATGGCTATATTCAAAGCCCAGTGTGTTAACAATAAGCCCAGTGTGTTAACAATAAACCACTGTTTCCCAACTATAGTATGTCACAACAATCTAACGTCTCTTGAAGCCGTATGAAATGTGTAGCAAACACCTATTAATTAATCGAATTGTCGAATTTAAATGTATGTTTTAAATTTTTTCTACAGATTTCAGCATCATACTTTAATTAAGCAGTATTTTCTATAAAAACTCCACAAAAATCGAAAGCGTAAAGATACAAAATGATTTGCGAGTTAGTCTTTCAAATTTAAGAAGATGTATTAACAATTTCTGTGGAATACACCAAACACAGACATAGGTGACAATAGGTGAGTGTTACTGCAACATACATGTACCTCGATAACAAAAACGAAATAGATTACAAAATATAAGTTGGGGATATATCGAGTTCCATCAGAGGACAAATTACTAGTGCTCAAATGGCTGATATACCTGTTACCAAGCCAGCGGGTCTTATTGATTTATCAATGACCCTAGTAGTTAGTTTCATGTTATATCTTTAAACAAGCGAAGAACTTCTTTTAATCAAAATAATTCGTAAGATAACAGCATATTATTCGAGAAAGATATTAGAATATTAGAAAGAATTGTAGCTATAAACATAAAACAAAGGCTACTCAAATTATAATAAAATTTAATATTCGCTCATCCATTTCTACAAAAACTGCCCCAACTATTTCACGTGACTAATGTACATGGTCGAGCAACTAATAGCAAAGCTGCTGATACTCAGCGCCTATGCTAAACTATGGTTTCAGTGCTATTACTAGCACAAAACTTGGACAATACACAATACAAAACGTGTATTGTGTATAGCAGTTGAGTCACTTTCCCTGTTTATTGCACTCCAAATATCCATATATCGAGAAATTCTTTAAAGGCGTATCATCTGGGTTGTCTCGTGCAAAGAGCGAAAATAGTAAATAGATTTGTGAAGGTCTAGATCACAATATCCTGAAATTTTCGTGAACATTGACTGTTCTTGATGGTGATAATCACATTCAAGAGCAAGCGATGGACCAAGTTCTTCATTCGTTTAAGCATGTGCCCGACGTGCTGTGCATCAGGACGGTAATGTACGTTTTCACATCTTAGACAACACTGGTTTCAAGAACTTGAAAACGAGCTTGAACACCTTCTGTGTCCTGGGCAGTTCCCTAATCTCAGTACCACTAAGACTATCTAGTATATACTACAGAAAAGAGCTGAAACGTTTCTCTCTTTGAACAATATAAATAGCCATTGGTTTAAAAGAGGATTGGCTAAAAATACTTGTATTGACTAAATCAAACTTCTGTATGTAGTTTTCAAGAAGAATCGCTGTAGCATCGGCCCCCATGACCTAGACTGTATTAATAAAACATTAAAGTCTAGATGCAGATACTTATATTTCATTGCTTAATGTCTGCATATTCACAACAACAACGAAAATATTTCAAAACCAAAAACACTAATCACAAGATTTGAAAGTTAGATTGCATATTCTCAATCGAAAAAGAAAGAGAATCATTAAAATATATCACTGAGCTCATATCTTCTTATACAGCCCACCAGCGGCCAAAAGTTAAAGTCAGTGAATATTGGTAGTTTGGTCTCAGGTTCAAATCCCGGGCTGCATGGGCGTTTTCGTGGTTTTCCCCATGTGTAACTTATATACGAGCTAGTATCCCTAAGTAGTCCTCCCTCCCCTTGGGCTGAGAGTTCTCTTGTCTTATTTGGTTACGTCTGACGTAACCAAATACGACAAGGCATATCTCCTCATGCCAATAAACCAATCCAGATCATCTAAGTGAAAATCAGGAGTCCTCATCGCTAAAACAGGCAACATTATCTTTTTTTTCTTTTTCCAGAAACAAGTACTGTTTAAAAACCGCAAATAATTTGGATATAGTATAACTTCCATGTGATGTAAGGAACAGGCAGCTTTTAAAACAAAGATCATTGACAAAGATTCTTATATTCCAGGTATTCTTACTAAATATATTTATGTATATTTTCTCTTGCTTTGTAGAGGTGGAACAAATACTAAATTTTCTCAAACCTGAAACTTAGGATTCTGGAGTCTATCAGATGTCGAATTTATTGAATCTTTCGTAAAAGAAGAAGGAGCGAAAGAAAACTTCTACTGAGTATTGAAAGTGTTTGAATAATACAAAATTTAAAATCTGCATCTGAAGAAAAATAAATTTAAGAATACTGTTTTTAATAACACACTTGTAATTATCATAATATTAAAGAAATTTAGAAAATTAAGTTCACTATTAAAATTCTGAGATCTTTAGCTCGTTTTCTGAATTTAATTTGACGATATACTATATATTCGAATTTTTACATTTTTCGAAATGTCCTTCTAAATCGGAGAAAGTTTAGAGAATTATTTTAAAAGTTTACAGAAATAAACTTTGAATGTTAAAGTCTGTGTAGATAAGTAAAATCATTTCATTCAAGGTAATCGTATGATATTGGCGATCCAATCGGAATAATCGCATTCTTTTTAATGAATATTTTAATGAACTCTTTAATGTTAATAAAAATAATATTTCAAATGTTTTAGGTTTTAATAATAGATTAGGGTTCAAAAGGTTCTAATGACGAAAAACGTTTCTGGAAGTCAAAGTTTTTGCAACATCCCTGAGGTTTGAGAATCCGAATGTCCCATCGCTACTTACCATGCTTATTGAGCTTCAATGCTTTAGAATTAAATTACCATGCTTATTGAGCTTCAGCATGCACTTTAAATAACAATTTAGTATATATATTATGAAAGCAAGTAGCATATAACTCGATTTCAACCATTTCAGTTTTTTTTTTTTTTTTTTTTTTTTTTTTTTTTTTTTTTGCATTCATTATTTTGAGTGCATTAAAAATTTGATTGAATTTTAAATTCTAAAATCAATTACTAATTCAAACAAATCGAATCGTAATTTCGAAATTTCAATTTCAGTTTTAAACAGTAACGATGTTTCTAATTGAAATTTCATGTTTAAATTTTAAAGAGATCATTTTATTTCAGTATCTTCATGATACTTTTCTGCTATACCTTATAAAATAAATTTATAAAAACTATTAGCGCGACGAATTAAATCAAGTGAAATAGCCATAATTTGACTATTTTCATATAGAAATACTGCCTTTTATACAAGAAATCAGCCTTTCTCAGTCATTTTCAATGCATAGGAAATTATTTTTATGTTTTTAAGGTGAATTATTGTTCCATAATTAAAATTATTATACCTAATATTATTTTTCATATTTTAGGTCAGAATCAAGAATGGAAATAAATCACTTCTGAAAAATTCTTCACTTCATTTCTCAAAAAAAAAAAAAAAGTTTGCGCGTGATATTCGGGGAAAAAATGTGCTATCACAAAACATATTTATTGGAAGTAGTTTCTGTGTCTAGTACATCGTTTTAAAATGCAATAAAAAGCATCGTCCTGAAATATATTAAGAAAATCAGTCAGATATAAAGATTTTAAAAACTAGTACCTAGTATTAAGATTATGCATACATGATAGTTCATTAAAATTCTGCCCGGAAGAGATTTATTTTATCGCATTTGGCTGATAAAAGTAACTATTACTCTTTTTTGTTTTTTGTTTTGAAGAATTTAACCGGAATTTTAAAATTCATATAAAAAAATTAGAGTATAATGTAGTTGATATAGAATTTATTTGTAAATAGATACTTTCAACATTAATCTATGTAAAATCGACTGTTACATGAAAATACTCATATAGCATATTTAATATTCAAATTAGCGTACGATTTAGTTTAATCTTCCTAAAAACGAGCACGATTTTATATTCTACATTTAAGGATAATGTACGGTACATGATCGCGCACCATTTCAAAATTTAATCAATAAATATAATGAAATTTAACAATTACAATGAATATAATGGTGGTGTGGTGTATTTAATTATGGCAAAGCACACGAGGGCTATCTGCCTAAAGGGAAAAGGTCTTTCGTGGAGGACTTTCTAAGGGAAACTGGCTCGTATACACGTTACACATGGGGAAAACCACGAAAACGCCCATGCAGCCAGCCCGTTCGCGGGATTCGAACCTCAGACCGAACTACCAGTGTTCAGCGTCTTTACCACTCGGCCGCTGGTGGGCCAATGAATATAATGAAATTCAAGAATACATTGCATTATATAAATTCAAATGAGCGGTAATTTTTGTGAAAAGGAAGTACTATCCTTATGGGATATTGTATTTCTCGGAAAGCATCAAATATATATTTTGGTTTAAACGCTACAAATTATGACTTAAACTAAGATATTGTAAACCTAATCGTCTTCAGGAGTGAATTACAAATGTTATTACATTCACTCAATTCCTGTTTTTAAACGTATGTTCAAAACTTTCATACTGTAGGAAGAATATCAAAATTTTTCATGTAGAAATAATTAACATTTTTAGAATATTTTGACTGAATCCTCTTCACATTATATGATACTATTATAAATAGGCCTTAAGGCAATCGTTTACTTTTTAAGGTGCTTCAGAGAAAGGAAAGGGCTTACATACAAGAGTGCCTCAAGTATACGCACTTAATAGGTTGAGAGTATTCTACAAGAAATATAATAAAATCGTCTAGATAACGTTACGTTAGATATTGTTATTTAAATAATCTTCTTTTCAGTGTGAGGATTAAAAAAATGAATAGAAAATTATCCGAATATATTTTTTGGAATCTGCTGCTCGTACAAAGTTGGTATGATTATCAAAAGATTATTGTAATGGTAAAAATTTGATTTTACATTTGGACAAATGTGATCTAAAACGTGTCGACGGAAATTTAGCAATAATAACATACTTAACAGAATGATAATTGAAAGATTATTTTGGAAAAGAATCTTACCTCTCGGAGTCATAATAAAAATTTCGTCCTAAACTGTTTACGAAGTTTTTTTTATATAGAATTGACGAATATAAAATGGTACCGGCCGAACTGTTCGTTCCTGGTGATTGAAATACAAGAGAATCACAGGTCCCTTATATATATATATACAGAAAAGTGAAAGTATTGATGGTGGGAGGGTTTGGGAAGAGAGAGCGTGGGAATTTTGCACGTGCTTCTCTCCGTTTGGCGGGAATGAAGACGTTCTACCGGACACTTCTAACCGGACGTTGGTCACCAGGATTTAGATCACTGGGGCCGTGAATTACAAAAGGGGAGGAGGGATGAAACGCAATAGGATTATTAGATTACAAGGAAAGCATTCCACTTCTTAGAGCATATTTGTTACATAAATAGCTGATAGACATAACAACTTCTTTGATTCGTGATTACATGTCAGTATACTACATAAAACATAGATAAGTAAATTTGGATCTTTATAAAGTAGATATAAATACTATTCATTCATTCGTTTCTATGGAAATCTTGTTTGCAATATTCGTAATTGTTCTCAAATGCAAATAAATATTTTATCGTCTTAACTATCACGAATTTGAATTAGAAAAACTCGACAACGCGGTTAAACAAGAATCAGTGCAGTGTAAACTTTTTATAAGTTTTTACTTAGTGCACTCATACTGTCTGCCACTACGATCTAATGTTTTGTATTGATTTTTAGAATGCTTTCTGATAACTATCCAATTCAAATTCTGTACGCACACTCCTTATGGATGACGCCATAATGCGGTAAACGACTTCTTTCGAAATTCGATTTATGCTTTTTAAAAATTTAATGTTGAAGCGATTTTACGCACATATCTTCCTTTAACGAACAAACTAGCAATGGCTTAATTTTCTTGTTTACACCATCGGTACAGAGTGGAAACAATCTGTAGAGTATCGAGGCAGGAGAAAAAACTTTATAAAACTTTTAAATAAAATTTATATGAGATTTTAACGTAATCTCAGATTTTTTAATAAAAACCATTGGATTTTTTTCTACCAGATGTATCAGAATTTTTAAAAGTAAAATAACATTATTTTTTATTTGAATAATTTAATTAATAAAGTGTCGCTGAAACTAAAAAGATGAGAATAAATGTAATAAAAATTTTTTTACAGTTTTTATTTAAAACTTTTAGAATACTTAGGTTATTCTTAAGCAGGAGACGTGAAAAATGTGCAGTACTCTCGCCGGGTCTCGAAACTTGGACTTCTCGAATACGCGTCGAGTATGCTTAAATTACACCAGGAAGTCATGTGGAAAAGAGGGAGAAAATACCTTAAAAACTCGTAAAATAATGAATGAACTAAAATTAGAAAAATATTTTATCATATAGTTTAATGGAAACAAAAATTTAAATACTTCTCAAAATTCTTCTTCAAAATTCATCTACAATTTTATATCACGAATAATAAAAGCATATTCCTCCAAATAACGAAATCGAATTGCATTGTCAATAGAACAAGCTATTACCTTTATAAATTGATCAACGGTGCTCCGCTCTTTTATACTTCGTGATATAAAATGCAAGATGAATTCCAATTAAACTAAATGATAAACTATATTTCTCTTTTTAGCTTTTAGTGCGTTAATAGTTTTATGATTTTTAAATAAAAGCTTAGCTTAAATTTTATTTTATCATTATTTCTTTTAGTTACAAAAATCTAAGGAAAATCTTGACGAGCTGCTTTTATTTTTCATGAAAATAGTAAGGTATTTTTTTCTGCCACCTTACCGCATGCCTTAGCGCTGTGATTGAAAGCATCTCCAGCTGCAATATGAAAGTCCGGCGAGGGTCCGGGTTGTTTTTCCATATTTCCTGTTTCGAAATAAAACTAATGCCCCTATAATGACACCCGAATTAAAATATAGTGATTAATAGCTTCAGTAACATATATATTGACAAAGTAAATAAAAATATTATAACAATATTGTCCCATTTGGATAGCTTAAATGAAAATTGTGTAATAAAAATTAAAATATTTATAAGGTTTTAGTCTTTCACTATTGTAACTTAACATTTTGGTAGACGTTAACGTCTACCAAAATGTTTAGACTTAGCGACGTATCGCTAAGTCTAAAAGAACGAGGTTAAACTTGGCAAAAGCGTAAAAGATGCTTTATTTTAAACTCAATAAATGGGCAGCCAGCTCGCTCGCTGGGAATCGAAAGTTTGTCCGAACTACCAGTGTTCAGTGCCTTTACCGCTCAGCCGCTAATGGACCCTGTTAGAAAGTGTATTCGCGAAACATTTCGCGTTCATTATTCAAACAGTAGATTCGTTATTAAAATCCCTCAATTTTTGATAAACTTTAACTTAATTACACACAAAATTTTATCTACATATATATTAATGAAATTAATAATTCATAATTATTTATAATAAGAAAAGTTTCCATATACCATCTCCAAGGAACACATATTCCTTTTTAAACCCTGAGCGAAAAAACATTTTTAATCAATACTTAAATTAGTATTTTAAATAGTAATTTCAATTTCTTTTTTAAAATCTGCAAAAAAAAAAAAAAAAAAAAAAATCTTTAATCTAAAAAAAAAATTTTAAAAAAAAGTCTGAATAAATTTTAAATATTAAAAAATAGTAGTTATTGTCATTGATTGCAGATTAACCCACTTAACAATGGGATAAACCAAACTACAACAACAGCGCCATAGCTGCAAGGAGTGACCTTTGAGTTTAACAAATATTCTCTATTCGTATGAAGCTCATATCCAATTAAATTTTAATTAAGAAATTTTAATTGTAAAAAAAGTTAAAATAATTATTATTGCTGACAACTAATTTACAATATCATTTAAATTCAAAAAGGTAACAACTTTTACTCAATATAAATAAAAGAATTAACGTGCCAATAACATATCCTTGCAATTATCCTAACCTGAAATTAAAAAAGAAAAAAAAATTGCAAAAGGCAGCTGTTTATTAAAAATGCCTACATTAACAAAATATTTTCAAAATACACTGAGTTAACATGCAATCGCTTGCTTTATTTAACTTCAGGATATAACCTTGATTTTTATTTGCAGCGATTCAAGAAACTGTTGCAATCGGAAAAATGAGCGCGAAAATTAGCGTTTTCAGTTTTTAACTAATGCGTCCGCTGTATTCACTTATGCATCCACAAGGTACTGCATACACGTGGCAAGCCCACCAGCTGAGCGGGCTGAAGCCGGCTTTCGTTTCACGGGATTCGAAAGTTGGACCGAACTACCAGTTCTCAAGGACTTAACCGCTCAGCCACTAATGGGACGTTGTAGGCAGTGTAATCCCGAAAATGTTCAGGTTTATTATTTAAGCAGTAGATTCGTTATTAAAATTAATTTATCTAAATTCCTTTTCATTATCTTCAACGTAATCACTTAGAAAATTGCATCAATATATATATTAGTAGAATTAATAATTCATAATTATTTATAATAAGAAAACTTCCCGTATACCATCTCCAAGGAACAGAAATTTAATTTAGAGCTCTTAAAAATTTGCAAAGAAAAATCTTTAATCTTAAAAAAAAAAAAAAAAAACCCAAAGTGAATTTAATTATTATTGCTGCGAACTTATTTAAAATATCATTTTATTTCAAAGATTATATCTAAATTATGTGCACGTATCTAATGCCATGAAAAAATATATTATTCCAAAAAATCAAATTTATTATGCCAAAAAAAACAACATATTTTAACAATAATAGCGCTTTCTGATTTTTTAATTAATATCTCAGCTGATTAAAGTTGTACAACTTCAAGAACGTCATCATTTAAATTTAATGTAATATAACAACTTTTACTCAATATCAATAAAAGAATTAACGTGGCAATAACATATCGTGGCAATTATACTAACCTGAAACAAAAAAATGTTAATTTAAAATGCTGACATTATAACGAAATATTTTCAACATACAGTGAGATAACATGCAATCGCTGCCTTATTCAACTTCAGAATATAACCTTGATTTTTATCTCCGGCGATTTAAGAATCTGTTGAACTCGGAAAAATGAGCGCGAAAATTGGCGTTTTCACAGTTTTTAATTAATAACTCGCCTAATTAAAGTCCTACAAAGATGAGAATGGTATCAATGGATTCAACTGCCAATTCTTACTAATACTTTTGATTTATTAAATTTAATTAGTACTAGAAATACGTGCTAAATAGTTATTTAAAATTTTGTTAAAATAATGAATACTTAAAATATTTTTTATAAATATTATAGCAAAATATTTTAAAATGAAATTAATATATAAAGTAAGTTATTAAGTTATGCATTTTATATACTTTAAAAAATCATATTTTCGAAATCAATGCAAATCACATATTAGCAATCACTACTGAAATATGCCTTTATTTCTTATTTTTTAAGTAAGGACGAATTCACAGCTGTCCAATATATATGAAAACTAATAAACAGTCAGGAGAAGCAGACCTTTACATTATTTACCGAAGCTTATATAGACCAATATCTCGAGATTTGCGCGCTTTGGCTAGCTGCCAAATTCGAACAAGGAACTGCGCAAATAATTCAAATTCTAGCAGTTCTTCCAAGTAATTTGGTGAAGATGCCATTTATAAGGCGTTTGAAAAGACTCACTGCATGTTTAAAATTGAATCAAGCAATGACTGATATAAATAATAGTTATAAAGACGTTTAATAGTTTAAGTTAATTGAGAAGAAATCATCGTGAGAAAGCTGAATTTGTGCTTCTTTTGTGTGTGAATATCTGCTTTACAAGAAATGCTACAGTGCTTAATTGTGAATCTAGTGTTCGTGAAATAGTGTCTCTGTGGTCTTGTAGCCTTGGCTACTAATGTCTAAAATTAATTTATGACTAGTAACAGCATGAATTATAAACAAATAGCTAAGTTATTGCATTTTATTTTCCAGCTATCGAAATGCGACGCTACGAGCAACGTTTTGAAACCAAAACCTAGCAATCATGAATCAGAACTAGAACTAGTTGCCATTCAGCATAAAGAAATTTAAATATAAATATGAACTACTTATTGCCATTCAGCATAAAAGAAATATAAATATGAATATTAACAA